CAAAAGCAAAGAGGCGGGAGCCGATCTCCGCTAAACACAATTATCATTTGACTGCCAAACCGGCGGTCTAACCACTTGGAAATACGATCCGCAAGTCGATCGTATGGAATTGGCATGCTTAGTAGCCACATTAGATCAGCCACTTAGGCCTTGTTCACTTCGCAGATTCAAGTTTTCAATTCGAGCTGAGATGTGACATTTTCTGAGAGCTTTTTACTGTAGCAGAAAAAGTTAGATGTGACATTTTTTGAGAGCTTTTTACTGTAGAAACCTAAAACTGAAAACTCGAATTGGTGAAATGAACAAGGCCTTAGTTTTACTAAACAAAGGAATTGGCAACGTTGTATTAAAATTGTACATAATCCTAATGCACAATTTTTTTCAAGAACTACTCTTAGGAAAGATGCATTAAAATATATAAACAAGAAAAAGAAGCATTAATCAACTTTTTACACTCTGCTAGTGGTTGCGTTGCATTAACGGCGGATATTTGGTCCGCCGTTGCCAATAAAGATTACTTAGCTGTAATCGGACATTATTAAAAAGGTTTTGATTTGGATAAGAGAATATTAGGTTTTAAATGTGTTATAGGATCACATACTGCCAATTTAATATATAACACAATTTTATCTGTCATTGCCGAATATAGTTTAAGAGATCGAATAATGGCCATAACATTAGATAATGCAACTGCAAATACTAAAGCAATAGAACTTTTTGAAAATGATTTAAGTTTATTAGGTAATAATGATATATTTCACCAATGTTGTGCATGTCATATAATTAATTTAATAGTAAAGTCCGGTTTAAAATCAATGTCAGGTCATATTAAAAGAATTAGAGATAACATTGCTTGGATTCAAGATAGTAATCAAAGAATACAAGATTGGTTTAAATTTCTACAAGCATGTAATCAAAATCCTAGAGTATTAGCCTTAGATATGCCCATAAGATGGAATAAGATGGAACTCCAGTTATATAATGCTTGAACAATGCATCCCCTATAAAGATGCTATAACAAATGTTAATGCAAAATTAGGAGCATGATTTATAGATGAAACTGATTGGCAAATTGACGAACTATTGTTTAACTTTTTAGGTAGATTTCACGAAGTTACTTTAAAGCTTAGTGGAACTTATTACCTAACGTCACCAATAGCGTTAGGAAAACTATTAAGAATGTCTATTTTATTTAGTGAATTTAGGACACACGAGGTTTTAAGAGTTCCTATAGCTTCAATGGAGAAGAAGTTTAAAAAATATTGGTCTAAATTATCAATATTGTATGGTTTCGGTGTTATTTTCAACCCTAGATTAAAATTATTAGGTTTAGAGAGTGGATTAGAAAACTTAGGTGACTTTTTAGCTATCGACACTACTGACTAATTTCCTATTATAAAGGAAAAAATATTTTCTCTCTATAGCTCTTATGAAAGTAGGTTTAGAAATACACCTCGTGTAGAAGAACCGCAACAACGAGATGACAATCCGCATTCATTCTTGAATGTTTTCAGGTTGTCTAAGAAGAAGAAGAAGACGACGGCGATGACTCAAGGTCAAGAAAAATCTGGGAGTAGATCTTCATCAAGAGGTGGCGACAACAGCGGCAGCTTTAACGAGTTAATAGTGTACCTAAGTGAGGGCTTAGTTGTAGACAATAGTAAAATGTTTGATTTAGTTCAGTGGTGGAGGGCACGAGCATTAACTTGGCCGATCCTAACACGACTGGCAATGGATATTTTTTCGATCCGGGTCTCCACTGTTGCAGCCGAACAAGCATTCAGGACAACCGGCCGAATACTTGAAGAACGGAGAAACGCATTGCAACAGGATATTGTTGAAGCTTTGGTGTGCATTAAGGATTGGGATCGTTCCGACCAACGCTTACACGATACAATCTCACGGCAAGCCAAGAATGGATCGACACATTTAATATATTAACTTTTAATTTTTAAGACGATCCTTATGCTTCAAATTAAATTTTATTATTGTAATTTGTAAATATTTATTTACTTTCTATAGTGTTATTATAATCTTGTATAGACTTTGTAAATTCGTCAAATTTATAATTCATCCCACAATTATTGCATTTTTTTTTCCTTACCAAGTTTTTATCCCAATTGGGTTTTTCTTGGTAAGGTTTTTAACGAGGCAATTATGAATTATAAATTTAAAAATCAATAAAGAAATAATTTTTTTATATAGTTCGAATATATAATATAAAATATATTTAAAAATTCAGGCATTTTTGATCGGGCATCGGGCTGCCCGATCAGGCACGGGCAACCAAATGCTGCCCGATGCCCATCCAAGGAGAAATTTGGGTCGGGTAGCCTGAAACTTCGGGCAGTTTGGGCTCGGTTATCGGGTAAAAATTCAGACTTTTCAGTGGTCGCAGACGGCCCGTCCAAAGTTTCAGCGCTAGGGGTGGTAATTCGTGTTCGTGTCAACTTGTTTATTAATCGTATCATAAAACATCAATCTGAACATGACTTGTTTATTAAACGTGTCAAAAATGACAACTCAAACACGATCCATTTATTAATCGTGTTAATCATGTCAACCCGTTTAAATTAATATATTGAATAAATAACTAGTATAATAATGACTTATTTAACAGGGTCATGACAAATTTAATATGTTTATAGGTCAATTTATCTATTCCTTTAACAAAAATAAATAAATTTTACGTGTAAATATTAAAATTCACATTATTTGTATTTAATATGTCATATAAAATTTCATGCTATGTCACATATTATTAGATTGCAGGTGACACATATAGTTAATCGTGTAAATACGTATTGTGTTAGAAGGTCAATCATAACCCAGCTCATTTATTTATCGCGTGTCAACTCGATTATGACTCAAACCCATTTATAGTAAACCCAAACATGCTAACTTTGTGCGGATTTCAAGTTGTGTCGTCGTGTCGCTACCCAAATTGTCAGCCTTAGTATTCCCCGGTAAATTCTGGATTTACTGAATGTCGGTGCAGCGGTTAGATTTACCGATTGATCCCAAATTTACTAATTATTAACGCTTAAGTATTTACATGTAAATATAATATTTATAAGATAAAATATTATAAAATAATTATTTATTTATGTGTAAATATAGTATTTACTGGATACAATAAAAGAAACAAATTATTTCCTTGTAAATATTGTATTTAACATACACAAGATGGAAAGTAAATACGTATTTACATGTAAATATAATATTTGCCTGTAATGGAAAAGAATTAAGCATTTCCGTGTAGTATTAACCTTATACAAGATTAAAAAGGATTACTTTATTACAAGTAAATATCATATATAAAATTAATATAGAATTTCCCTATAAATTTGTGATTCTTGCGACCAGATTTATGGGCAAATGTTATATTTACTAATCGTCAGTGTCGGAAATAGATTTATGGATAAATATGAGTGTCGGAAATAGATTTATGAATAAATATGATACTTACCAATCATCAATACCAACTCCGATGTCAGCGGCCATATTTACGAGTACATACCGTATTTAGCGGTGCTGGACTAGTGACCATATTTAAGAGTAAATACGGTATTACCGATTGTCTGTAGCCGATCATAGGTTGCCAGTGTCGATGTTGATGCTGGCCATGGTAGATTTGACCAGATGAGGGAAGGAGGGAAAGAATAGAAAGAGAAAGATTTAAAGGTAAATTTAGCTTTTAATAGTATTGAAAACCTAACTATTAAATTATGCTATTTACTACCTATTCTAGAAAAGTATGCTAATAATTTGTTAAGCATTCTATTAAATACGTTATTTTACTTTTTTTTTCTTCCTTAATTTTAATCATTTTGTGAATGGCTAGGCTACAATAACAATAAGTGGTCTCATAGAAATATAAAATTTTTGTTTCCAATAGCATTTTTTTCCTTAAAAGACAGCTGATTCAATAACAACATGCTCCAAGAAAAGAGTAAATCTTCTTCTATTTATTTTCTTGCTTAACAACCAAAATTTGAGTTGAAAATTAGAGGAAAATAACAATCAAGTTTCACACGTCGTTGTAACTAGTACTCATTTTTAAAATGAAAGTATACTTGTATATGTACATTGTTTGCTTACGTAGGCTCGTTCACTTCGCGGATTCGAGTTTTCAATTCGAGCTGAGATGTGACATTTTCTGAAAGCTTTTTACTGTAGCAGAAAAAGTTAGATGTAATATTTTATGAGAGCTTTTTATTATAGAAACCTAAAATTAAAAACTCGAATCGGTAAAATAAACGATGCCAGTTTTGATAAAATGCGACCAATGACGGCATATTTGTATTTGTACGTTTTTTCATAACCGTATTACAATGGTGTCATTGCAGATACGTAAATTGATATTAAAATGAAAATTTTATTTTAGTATGGAATGATGACATTCAATCTCATCATAATTATAAGGATTTTCCTTCCCCAAAAAATCATAAGGGTTTTATCCATTATATTAGGAGTATTTGATAGGTTATCATAAATCTATAGTTTCTTTCGATCATTCGAGTTGAGAACTTAAGTTAAAATTAAAGAAAACATTATAGTAGAAAAAATTAAATTTAAATTTTTATAAGAGAGAGTAGCGTAATAAAAATTTAATTATAATTTAAACTAGTGAAACGAATGAGATTATGATATATTTACGCAACATGTGAGAGATAGAATTGTAACATCTCAAAAATTTTAATTATTATCACTTAGATATTATAAAAAAAATTCAGTATTAATTAGAAATTTATTTGACAATGCCGTTTGAAAAGATATATTCAAACTATAATTAACGTTTAAAATTTAAATTAAGTTAGGGTAAATGAAAGAAACAGGCTTATGTGAGGATATGGCCGATATTTTCAAAAAATTTACAGTTTGACCGTTTAATTTTTGAAAAATTACCTTTTGAACCCAAAACTAAAAAAACCCATTTGATGGAAGAACCAAGTCACAAAAGACTCTGATCTCTCACTCTTTGTACGTCCTCTCTCTTCTCTCACTATTTTCTCTCCCTTGGTTTCATCCCACTCTCTTTTCCCTTTCCTGTCGTTCTCTCTCTCTCTCTCTCTCTCTCTCCTTGTCTTGCCGCCGAACCACTACACTTAGAAGGAAGCTTCTCCTTTCATCAAATTTTCCGCAACAAATCATCTTAGAGCCGGAAAAAGTTACAAGGATTTTGAACGAATTTTGGTTTATTTCATTCTTTGAGGTAGGGGTTTCTTCTTTGATTTTTATTTGTTCTTAATTTCATCTTGTAATTGCTTAATGGGTCTGTTATGGGATTGATGGATTTTTCTTTTTTATCGACCCATTTTTTGCAATGGCTACATACCCATTTTAAACGAGCTCTTTTTTTTTTTGGGAATTTTTCCAATGACTATGGTTGCCTGAATTCCCAATTTAAATATTCCTCGAATATATCATCACCATTTAAGGAAGGAAATGGAATTTCTTCTTTTGATGGGATTTTCTTTGTGCTTCTGGAATTTTATAGTTTTTGACGAAAACCCTTTTGGATGTTTTCCTAAAACAGACTTTTCTAAGTTCTTTTACGGATCTTTTCATGAGATAATAGCAAAACTTCTCTCGTTCTTTGTAGAAATGCTACATTTCACCTTATATTTCAATTTGGGAAAATGAAATGTTATTGTTTTGCTTCGAAAAGGTATGCATTTTTCGCATTTAAGCCTTATGATCTTTGTTTCTTACCGAATTTTACATTTTTGTTTTTGATAGGATCGATCGGACTAATAATAATGGATGTGAAAACAAAGAGAAAAACTGTTACAGAGAATGGGGATACTGGGGAGGACTTGGTTCTTGCGACTTTGATTGGGAATGGCGACGATGTGGGCCCTCTCGTTAGGCATGCATTCGAGATGGGGCGGCCGGAATCACTCCTTCACCAGCTCAAGCATGTTGTTAAGAAGAAGGAAGTTGAGATTGAGGATCTCTGCAAGACTCATTATGAGGAATTCATTCTTGCGGTCGACGAGCTTCGGGGCGTGCTGGTTGATGCTGAGGAGCTGAAAGGTGAGCTTTCAAGTGATAATTTTAGGTTGCAAGAGGTTGGGAGTGCTCTCTTGATCAAACTTGAGGAGCTTCTTGAATCTTATGCAATTAAGAAGAATGTGACCGAAGCTATTAAGATGTCAAAGAATTGTGTCCAAGTGTTGGACCTTTGTGTTAAGTGTAACAATCACATTTCTGATGGCCAGTTTTACCCTGTGCTGAAAACGGTGGATCTGATTGAGAAAACTTACTTGCAGAATGTTCCTGTCAAAGCACTTAGAACTATGATAGAACGAAGAATTCCGGTAATCAAGTCTCACATTGAGAAGAAAGTTTGTAGTCAATTCAATGAGTGGCTAGTGCACATAAGGAGTTCCGCGAAGGTCATTGGACAAACAGCAATAGGTCATGCCGCCTCTGCACGTCAGAGGGATGAGGAAACGCTAGAACACCAAAGGAAAGCAGAGGAGCAAAATATTTCCGAATTAGAAGATTTTTCTTTTTCTTTAGATGTGGAAGAATTGGATGAAGATTCTGTTTTGAAGATTGATCTGACACCTCTTTATCGGGCATATCACATCCACACTTGTCTAGGAATTCCAGAGCAGTTCCGCGATTATTACTACAGAAATCGTATGTTGCAGCTTAACTCGGACCTGCAGATCTCTTCGGCACAGCCTTTTGTTGAATCTTATCAAACATTTTTAGCTCAGATTGCGGGTTTCTTCATAGTGGAGGATCGGGTTTTGAGGACTGCTGGAAGTCTACTTTTAGCTGAGCAGGTTGAAGCAATGTGGGAAACTGCTTTGTCGAAAATGACTTCTGTTTTAGAGGAACAGTTCTCCAATATGGATTCCACAACCCATCTTCTTCTGGTGAAGGATTATGTAACTCTTCTTGGATCTACTCTTAGACAATATGGTTATGAAGTTGGTCTGCTCCTTGAAGCGCTAGACAAGAGCCGAGACAAGTACCATAAGCTTCTTCTTGAAGAGTGTCGTGAACAGATTGTTAATGCTCTTGCTCATGATACCTATGAGCAGATGGTTATGAGAAAGGATGCTGACTATGAAAACAATGTCTTGTTATTCAACCTTCAGACCTCAGAAATAATGCCTGCCTTCCCTTATATTGTGTCGTTCTCCTCCATGGTGCCCGATTGTTGTCGCATTGTCAGATCGTTCATTAAAGGGTCTGTAGATTACTTGTCTTATGGGATGCATGCTAATTTTTATGATGTTGTGAAAAAGTATCTGGACAAGCTCCTAATTGATGTGTTAAATGAGGTACTGTTGAGTACAATTGAAAGCGGTAGCATTGGCATCTCTCAGGCCATGCAGATTGCTGCGAACATATCTGTTCTCGAAAGAGCTTGCGACTTTTTTCTTCGAAATGCGGCTCAGCTATGTGGGATCCCAATACGGTCGATTGAGAGGACTCAAGCTAGTTTAACTGCAAAGGTGGTCCTCAAAACCTCAAGGGACGCAGCTTATCTCGCTCTTCTGAATTTGGTGAATAGCAAGTTGGATGAGTTTTTGGCGCTTATGGAAAATATCAAATGGACTTCAGAGGAGTTATCCGAGCATGCAAATGATTATATGAATGAAGTCATTATTTACTTGGACACTGTTTTGTCCACAGCGCAGCAAATTTTGCCTTTGGATGCACTCTACAAGGTTGGAAGTGGGGCTCTTGAACATATTTCCAACTCGATAATGGCAGCTTTTCTTAGTGATAGTGTCAAGAGGTTTAGTCTCAGTGGTGTTATGGGCATCAACACTGATCTGAAGATGTTAGAATCTTTTGCGGATGAAAGATTTCACAGTATGGGCTTGAGGGAGCTGTCTAAGGAAGGTAGTTTTAGAGGCTGTTTGATAGAAGTGCGCCAATTAATCAACCTTTTGTCGAGTAGTCAGCCTGAGAACTTCATGAATGCTGTGATAAGGGAGAAAAACTACAATTCTTTGGATTACAAGAAGGTGTCCATTATTTGTGAGAAATTTAAGGATTCCCCTGATGGAATCTTTGGAAGCCTCGCAAACAGGAACGCAAAGCAGAGTGCACGCAAGAAGTCAATGGACATACTGAAGAAAAGATTGAAAGACTTCAACTAAGGCCCAGAAAATCTTTTAGCGTCATAATATTAGGAGTATATTTTTCGCCTTACATTCTTTCAATTTATTTCTTCTCTATGTTTAAAATATATGGGATTCATTAATTTTTCCTGCTATGTATGTCGTACAATAAATATGCAATATCCTTTATTAGCCTAGTGCACATTTTGAATTTTCCCTTTGTGATCATGTTCCTTTTGCTCTCGCATTTTTGAGTTGTCCGCAAAGAAACAAAAAACAAGACACTCCGGGATGCTTGGTGTGATTGTGTAATCTCACACTACTCGTGCGCAACCTTCTCTTTCTTGTCTAATATTCTCTTTTATGAGAAAGTTTATAAGTACTCCCCGTTTTCATTTATTCATGTTGCTAAGCATTGGTTGACTCTCGCATATCTTTTCATTTTATATAATTTCAGCATTTAACAGCCAAATGTTCGGCAATATTTTTGCATTTGATTTCAGGTCAGTGTTCTTGAGACTATGTTGAACAAGCTTCGTTGGTATGAGCATCAGTCCAAGCAGACAAGACAAGGCCATCATGTTGCTCAACTTGCACATCTTCTTCATGTCCTTGTAAACTACAAAAAAGGTATTACCGGTATACCAATTTCACTGGGATTCGTTTTTGCTACGCGACACCATGCCATGATGAATTTTTTGTATGCCATATAACAATATCTCAAAAGAAAATTTATTGATAATTTTCCTGGTTAATCGATTAATTGTAATTGTACCAGATGCTTCAATTTTATTTTCAGGGAATTACCTTGCTATGTCTTTGTTAAAGTTTTCTAGTTTTTGGTTTTTACTTTCTTTTGACCTATTACTTTTGGCAAAGCATATCAGCTTCTAATGGCTCATCTTTTACCACGAAAAGCATGTATTCTTCCTAGAGGAATTACGTTTGAACTTGGATTTAGTTCTATGTTCGATTCAAGTCAAACTATATCGATCTTTGGTGTTGAATTATCACATTTTGTTTTTAAAAGATTCATAATTAAATATTACAAATTTATTGGTAGCAAAACACAACAAATTATCCATGTACAGGGCATTTAAGGAAACTAGTATTTTAGCTTGGAGTGGTTTTCATTAAACAAGCAACGATGAACTATCCTGCATGTTTGGTTTTAGATTCTCTTTTTTTGTTACTAAAATATTCATCATGAAAATAAAAAATTATCTATGTGCTAGTAAACTAGTTTTTAGCTTGGTATACCTGCACTAAAGAAGTAATTTTAAACTATCTTGCCTTTTTTTTTTTCGCTTGAATAATTTTAAACTATCTTCCATGATCCGTAAAGACATCTTATTCGTCGCCAATCATTGGGAGAGTCGTATTTCATATTACATATTTTGATGATTTGATCAGCGGGACAACAAAAAGTAGATTTTTTTTTTTTGACGATTTTAACTCTCATATTTTCGAATGTTACAAGTGGTTAAGGTCACTACTGGTGGCGGTGGCACTGTGGTAAGGACGATTGTCTTCTCCCTCATTCATTATTTTTAGGGTTCGAATTTCCTCTGTCCTCACAAAAAAAAAAATATATATATATATACTTTTTTTTTTCTGGCCTTAAAAGTAGAAATGCTCATGTGTGGACAGGTGAAATCAGGATTGTGAAAGAGCAGAGAATAGGTTTAAGTTCTCGACAATTACACCTGGTGCGTTTGAAATTGGTTTTAAAATAATTTTGTTTTTAATTAAAAGTAAAATTGAGATTGTTTTAAGAAAGATTAATTTTAAAAATTCTCCTTGAACTATGACTCATGTAACACTCTGCCTTTCGAATTTCAAAACGTAACATCCACTCCCTTTGAATTTGTTTCGTTAACAATTTTGCTCATTCTGTTATACTGAGTGACGGAATTCGTCACATGCCCATTATTTAGGGAGATTTGAAAGTAGAATTACGCTTATACCCATCTTCGTTCAGAATCACTGGTATTCGATGTTACCTATATTGATAGAATTCACCATATTCGTTCCCAAAAACTAGTTTTTTTTCCTCACCTCATTCATCCATGGCGAGTCAAGGGAGTACAAACAGTGGTGGCAGCGGCTAGGTGATGGAAAAAATTTGAGGTCCTATTTGATGTTGATGTGGGTTGGATCCGGTAGTGAAGACATCACGGTCAAATATGCGAATCACCCTGCCACTGGTGGTCGTTGAATCGGCCAACTCCGACATTTATGTGGAGATCGAGTGGCTTCCAATGGAGGGCAAAACCGTCTCAGCAAAGAGCAGGCAAACCCTTGCCGAAGGCAAAGGCACCAACTAGGCCGCTTGCAGGGGTAAGCTCACTACCCCACATACTTTGTGGGCCAGGTTGGTGGGGACGCTCATGGGAAGTTGATCGGTGAGGCTCTTGAGAGTGGTGGTGTTTGTGTTGATCATTTGAGTGTGTTGGGGAATGTGCCCACAAGCCTTGTTGTTGTGATGCTGCAGTCTGATGGGCAGAACTTGATCATCATAGTTAGTGGGGCCAACATGTGTAGTTGGCCCCAGAGGTTGCCCGATGAGCATTTGGAGCTGTTAAGGAGTGCTGGTATTGTTTTGCATCAGAGGGAGATTCCGGATTCTGTTAACATCCAAGTTGCCAAGGCTTGACATGTTGCAGCCATTAGGAGTGATTTGCAGAAGAATTTACAATGAAGAAGGATTTTGTTTCTCGAATTTTTCTTTTTGGGGAAAACTTTTAACCCTAACTTCACTAACATAATCGACTTGGATTAATCCTTTTATTATTTTCGCATTTGAGTTTTTTAATCTCTTTTTTAATAATTTGGGATTTTTTAAGAGATTGTTTAATTATAATAAAAAAGTGAAATTGTATTTATTAATTAATATATTATGATATTATTGATAAGTATTAAAAAATAAAAACAGAAAAGTGAAAAAAAATTGTTTTCTAATTCCTTCACAAAAATCATTATCACTGTTTTCGTTTTTGTTTTCAAAACATTTGCTCTATAGACGTCGTTTCATTTTTATTTTTATTTTTTGCTTTTCAAAATATGTGAAAATCGTTTTGAAAAACAGTTCAAAATATGCACATCATTTTTCTCTATTTGAGATTTTGTTTTGTTTTTGTTTTTTTTTTTTTTTTTTTTTTTTTTTTTTTTGTTTTTTTTTTTTTGGCTCCTCTTGATATCGACGAACAAACTAATAAGATGCTAGGACAAGGCATGCGTCCGTCCCTGAACCCGAAATTCGGAACCCAAATTCACGAGGGCAAGGCAAGAGCAAGAACAAGGAGAAAATGGCCTTGGAGTTGGACGACATGTTGTAAGATGAATAATAAAATGTGAAGTTGGGACAATAAAAAGAATTTGTAGAATATAAATATGAAAATATAAAGTAATAGAAATTGAGCAGAGAAGTAACATGTGAAAATCATAGAAATGTAGAGGTTACTTATAAATTTTCTTTAACAAAAAGAGAAATTACACGACATGTCACCAAAATTCAAAAACTTTACATTTATGCCACTGAATATAAATAGATTAGATATTTTCAAATGAATTGAGTATCATATATTTTAAATCTATATTACTGTGCGGTATAAATGTAAAGATGACAGTATCTGAGTAGCATTTCTGTATTTCTCCGGGTTTTTTTTTTTTTTTTCCTTTCTTTTTTCTTCTTTTCTCTCTCTAAACAACAAATTATGAATACCTCCAAATCCGACGAAACTACAACTTTAAAGCAAAGAAGAATGGGAATATTATCGCTGTACTATTTGATATCTCAAATTCTTATAAAAATACACGCGTCCATATATTTGTGTATATATATATGTGTGTGTGTTTATTATATATATTATTCTAGAAAAATCTTTTAATATGCATTTAACGTTGGTGGCAAAAGTATTAGAAAGGGATTTTGTAGAAAATAAAAGAGATTAATTTGGATGGCATATTCAGTAAACTAGCTAGTAAAGGCAATAGAAAAAAGCAGTTCTATATTTGGAATTTAATCGAATAAGTTAGTAGGCTGATGCTTAGTGAGAAGGAATTAAAGTGATTGAGATGATTACAAAGCATACCTGCAGGCCTATATTAGACCTTTAATTCATTTTTTTAGGGAAAAAAAAAATTATTGTTATCCTGCTCTTGGCTCAATAATGGAACGAAAACGACCTGATCTAATTTTATTACAAAGATAGATCCAATTTTCATTCATATTTTAATACACTTAACGTAGCACAACATATTGATCAGGCATGAGTCTTCAAATGGAGTTGTGGTCTATCAAACCCTGAGCGAAGTGATGTATATGGCACATGCTTCCCATAGGATCAGTGAAGTAGTGTGTATGCGCGCGCGTGTGTATATATATATATATATATATATATATATATATTCCTGAATAATGAGTGAATTAGCTTGCAGCATCCCATTGGATGAAGTTCGTAATTGATTGGATAGATTGTGTTGTTTCCAAATAGTTATACAACCGGTGGTTATCATCATTCAAGTTGTTTTCTGATCAATTAATGAAGTTTTAGAGCTGTCATTGAGGAGTTCAAATCTTTAATTAAGTTTCAGAATAAGGAAATTGGTACGACAGATTTCAATTCGTCATTGAGCTATATTACGAAATCGCTAGTACAGCAGTACTGCAGCTGTCTAATATTTGATGGATTGAGCAGGTATTTTTGCAGTTTTCCGCACCAAGTGGATAAACAGGAAATGTTCTTCACCGTTTAAGAAAAAATAATATCACAAATTCAACTAATTTAAACCACATGCAGATTGCTCAACAAACTAATTAATATTGATAGACCACCTTAGCGTTAAGTTGTAATTAGTCTAAAAATTTATAAAGAGCACTTCGCAGTTTTCATACCTATATCTCATTTGCTTTTAGTTATTTATATTAAGGGCAGGCCTCATTTTAATTATAATTAGTCATGAAAAGTGGGCAATTTTCTTGTAATCGTTTTTTCATCATAATGAATTACTACTAAAACTGGATCTATTTTTCACATTGAAAATGAACTGCTATAATTCTTGTTTCTTTATTTTTTTTTTCTGCAATTTTATTTGTTCTGAGAAGTAAAGAATTAAGGCACCAATTTCTTAACGTGTCGAGATGAAGTGATAAAATGATTATATTAAAATTGTTAGGTATTTTTATTAGTTGGCAATTTATTGACAATCTTATAAAAATTCAAAAAACAGGTTCAAGAAGATTTCGTATTGCAGAAGAAGATTCAAAATCAGATTTGGAGAAGGCCTTGGTCAAAGGAAGATAATGCATTAGTTATTTGAATTCAAATAGAATTCTAGAAAGAGATAAGGATCAAAAGAATTATGTGGAGAATTTGAACTGATGATTATCTAAATTTGAGAAGGCTATAAACGTGGAAGAGAATGAGATATGGTTTTGATATTTGTAGCTTATCCAACTCATGGGAATTGAAGTTGGCATTAATTTAGATTTGTTGAATTTGATGTACAATTCGAATTTGAAATTGAAAAGTGTTATTAGAGATCATATGAAAGATGGAGTCAATGAAGTTACGTGTCTTGCAAAGGAATGTGCAATCCATTTGAGCTTTATATAAATATATATATATACATATATATATATATATACACAGTAATATATACATGACGGT